TCCAGAACTCAAACTGTGATCGGCCATGTGGGAGTCCGGTGTCCCTTAGCCACCATACCCCCTGCTAGTCCCAAGGTGATAATATTTTAAAACTTTTTTTCTTGAAATTTTTAGGCAGGGATTTTTCTTTTCTTTTTTAGACTTATTGAATTTTACCTGTTTAGGGGTGGCAGGTGGTGTGGTGGTTAAGGGTGATGGACTCCCACATGGTTGACTGAGGTTTGAATCCTGGACCTGGCGGCTTATTTTCTCACTTTCCCTCTCTCTGTCTCTCTCACTCTGTCCTTCTCTGATCAAATTAAAATGAATATACAAATAAATAAAGTTCAATATTTTTGGGGGGGGTGGGGAGAGGCTTTTTGCCATAGGGCGCGTGCGCTTGCCAGACAGAGAGGGAGAGACAGAGAGACAGAAAGCAAGAAATCACCCCCCGGGGGATGGCCACGCTGCAATCCCTTCTCCTCCATTCTCCTCTCAGGATCTTGGGCACACACGCACATGCGCCCGGCATGAGTTTTTAAGCCACTAGGTCCAGGACGCGAACCGCGGTCAACTACATGGGAGTCCAGCGACATAGCCATTACGCTAACTACTGATAAAATAATTTAAAAAAATTTTTAACCTATTTATTATTATTCAGTTTGACCAGAGAGACAGAGAGAGGGAAGGGAGAAAACAAGCCGCCAGGTCTGGGACTCGAACTATGGTCAGCCAAGTGGGAGTCCAGTGCCCCAACCACCATGCCACCTGCTGGCCCTGAGGCAGGTCTTTTTAAAAGATTATAGCAGAGGTAAACAATACCTGTTTCAAGTTACTGGTATAAAATGAGCAGTGTGAATTTGTAATGTTGACAGGGGGGCGGTGTGTACAAATAAAACAAAACCAGTTACTGAGGGGCTGTCCAGCGCATGCGTGTCCTGCAAAACCATTTCTGGAGTCAGCCGTGCAGGCAGGTGCCGGGGCTGCACAGTTTACTTTACGTGACAGAAACGTAGAAGGATCTGCCGGGGCCAGCTCTGAGAGCGAGGACAGTGGCTGTGAGCCCTGCTGAGAGGGCGGGTGTGCGAGTTGCTGCGGGGCCTCTATGCAGCCACCCCTGGCCCAGAGAACCCTAAATTTGGGTTCCTAATCCCAAGCTGCAGCCTCACACGCCCGGGCCAGGCTCCGACAGGACCTGGAATGAGTTACCCACCACGAGCCTGGCTTCCCCCGTAACCCTCCTTCCAGCCCCGTGAGGGCTGTTGTTATCTCTACTAGATGGATGAGAAAACTGAGGCCCAAAGAGACAGTGCCCACTCAGGCCGCACGGGGTGAGGCCAGGCTGCTGGCCCAGGGCCCACTCCCAGTCCTTGTGCCATTGGCCAAGCAGGACTGCCGTCTGTGACGCGTGAGCATACCTTCAGCCGGTCCCTGAAGCCGAGGACCTGCGACTCCAGCTCGCGGAGCTGGGGCTGGGCAGGGCCCGGGGCCCTGAGTAACTGCAGGACCTCCTGCAGCGCCCCCTGCAGGGCCACGCTGGGCTCATGCTCGCCGTCCCTGGTGTCCCCTTCCTCCTGGCTGTCCTGGCTACTCGTGAGAGTGTGGTTGCAGAATGGCGAGTCCCGTGGCAGATCAGGGTTGTCCATGCCCAAGTCCCTCCAGCCAGGTCGCTCCACAGATGAGCCTCCTGCCAGCTGGGCCATCTCTGGCAAGAGGCCCTGGGCAGGGGGACCCTCCTGGGCCTCCTCTTCAATGGAGGAGCTGGGACCAATGGCCGAGGGCAGGACCCCCACATCCGAGGTGGATGCCGACGTGCTGGTCTCAGTGTCTCGCGGGTCCTCAGAGCTGAAAGAGTCCATCTCGGGCAGCTCCTGACTCCGGCTCCACAGCCCGGGGCCCCGCAGGTCGCTGTCGGACAGGTAGCTGAGGATGGAGGGGGCCCTGGGGCAGGCCAGCACCAAGGACTGCTGTGCTGGGGGCTGCAGGACAGACTGGGGAGGGCATGGGAGCGGCCTCACCAGCCACTCTCCACCAGAGGAGACCCCAGGTGGCCTTCCCTGGCCGACAGCACCCTGCATGCCCACTCACGGGGTGGCCAAGGTCTGCGAGGCGACCGGCATCCCTGGGTGCTGCCAGGCCCCGACCCCTCCGCCCGGCCCCATGCCTGCGCTCGCTCTCGGTCTGCTCTACGGCCTCAGAGGCGCCTCGTGTTGCTCGCACCCTCCAGGCTCGTCCTCGCAATCCCACCAGGACCTTGGCGCTGCCTGCTGCTCTCATCCTGGCTTGAGCCCTCGGCCTCAGGTCCCTCCACAGAAGGCACTTCCTGGGAGCCCTTCCCTGGATTCCCCACCTGCCCCAGCAGACGCCCCCTTCCTGCTCTGTCACCCGCAGTCTGGTGCCCCTCAGGCTGGCAGTGCATTTCTCAAGTTTTGTTGCCCCCCTCCCCCCGCCCACCCTGGGGAATTTGGACTCCCTGAGGGATGTCCTCTCCCGGCCCCGAGCAGAGCCTGGCATGTGGTTGTGAATGAGTGAAGTGAGTGAGTGACCGGAGGGCCCGACTACACCGCGTGTGTGTTTCCATGCGAACAACCTTCTGTGGGACCAGCAGGTGGCATAATGGTTACGTTACTGGGCTCCTACATGGCCAACTGCTGTTTGAGTCCTGGACCTGGTGGCTTGAAGCTCACCCCAGGCACTTAGGCGTGCGTGCCCAAAATCCAGAGAGGAGAATGGAGGAGAAGGGACTGCGGTGTGGCCATCTCCCGGGGGGGTGGAATTCCTCACTTTCTGTCTCTCTGTCTCTAACAAGCGCACATGTGGTATACCAAAAACTCTAAAGAACAAGGAGAAGAAGGAGTAGAAGAAGAGGAAGAAGAAGAGGAGGAGGAGGAGAGAAGAAGAAGAAGAAAACAAGATGACGAAGACGAAGAAGAAGAAGAGGAGGAGGAGGAGGAGAAGAAGAGGAAAAAAGAAAGAGCTTTCTGTGTTTACCTGCCCTGCTCCCAGGGCCTCCATCTCAGACCACCTTGACGTCACCTCACTTTGGGGGCTGGCTGGTCTCAAGCTCGGGCCATGGGGTGGGAAGTACAGAGCCAGGATTTGACCCCAGGGTGTACCCTGCCTCCCCATCCTCCACCAGGCCCGGGGTAACAGCTGATGTTCGGACAGCGCCATCTGTTTCGGGCGTTCTTTTAAACACTTCCGTTTATTAACTTATTTATTAACCCTCATGAGGGTGGAATTGTTCTCTTTTTCTGAATCAGTCCGGAGAGGCTGAGAGATTTGCCCAAGGACACACAGCAGGTGAGATACAGGGGCAGAGCGTGAACCCGAGTCATCTGAATACAGACTGCACACTCTCGGCCACAGATATTTTCTAACCAGGGGACTCCGGGCCCCACCAGGCCAGGCAGGAGTTCCCTCTAACTACACATATTGCAGGACTTGTGAGAAGCCCCCCTCGCCCCCTAGATGAGAGGGTGGCAAGAAGGTCTTCAGTCCAGTGTCACCTGCCCCAGCCTGGGTCGGGCAGGACGGGCTTGTTCTCGTCTCTGCTTTTGGGGTTCCTTACTGGGAGTGCGTCTGGTGCTCCCAACCACACGGCAGTGCCACACGCCAAGGCCCAGTGCCACACGCCAAGGCACCTTAATGGAGGACCCAGGCCCAGCCTCCTCCTTTGGGGAGATACTCGCGCTCACGTGGGATGACAGCCGCGAGCTTGTCTACTGCCCTGTCTCTGCAATGAGCAGAAGCGCCCTCCGTGCCTTGTTAGGTGAGGTACGACAGGGCCAGGTGTGGACTATGGTGGTGCGTGAAGAATGGGGGAGCCCTCGGGAGCCTACGGTACGTTGGGCGGGATGACGGAGGGAGGGGCTGCACCCTGGCCCATGGGTGGCTGGAGTCCCTCTGGGAGAGCGTGAAGAATAGCAGTCCACTCTGAGGGCCCGACCGGAGATCGCGGCCGAGGGTTCTGCTGTGCACTAAGGCAACGGTGCTGCTGGGACTGTACACAGGTGTAAACGGGGGAACGAGGCCAGGCCACGGCTGTTCAGGCATCCGGAGAACCAGCCGAGCCCAGGACCAAGGCCGGCAGGCTCCTCAGTGAGAGGACCGGCAGCAAAGGGAAAGGCCAGGATGACCCCAAAGGAGGCTGAACCCAAAGCTTGCCACAGCGGGGGCACCAGACTGCTCAGCCCGTCCCCGCTCTGCCTCCATCCCAGCCTGACCTGCTGCCCTGCCCCTGGGGGAGGCTCGCTCACCAGGTAGTACCTCTCCCGGAAGCTGGGGGTGCTTGGGGGCGTCCAGTTGTGCAAGGAGCCCTTCCTGCTGCCCAGAGAAAGCCTGCCCATGGGGCCTGGCGACATCAGGAGGCTCTCGGAATCAAACGGGCTGGAGAGAAACAGAAGGCAGGGCTCTCAGTCCCAGGAGGCCCCCACTCGGCGGGATCCTCAGGGCGCTGCAGGGGCCTCTGGCTGGAGATGGTCTTACAAAGCCACCGCGGGTCCTGGGTGCTCCGCCACAGCCCTCCGGTGGCAAAACCGTCTCCAGGGGAGGAAGAGAAGGCTCCAGGAGGGAACGTGCCCAGGCCGGTGTCACAGCCGAGAACCAAGGTGGGAAAAGAGTCCGTGCCAGGGGTGCCCCAGAGCCTCACAGACCGTCAGTGACATCGACACCACCCACTTCGCCACGCTCGGACTCCAGGGGAAAAGCAGCGTGGGGAGAACCGGGTCTGCCCAAGGCCACGGGCAACCTGTGGGGCTTGGATCCTGGCCTCAGCCCCTCCCACTGCCCTAAGGACCCACTCTGGTCCAGTGGCAAGGGATGGCGAGGGACAGCGATCGGCCACCACACGTTGAGTGACAATACCCCCTACTTAGAGGCTCCTTCAAGAAACTCAGCAGACAGGCCACGGGCGTGGCTCTGCCGTCTTCTGGGTAAACAGTGTCAGATCCTTCATCTGTCTCTGGAAGAGCCCGTGTCAAACACACCCAGGTGAGGGTGGGCCCACAATGCCCTCTCCCTGCCCTGCCCTCAGAGCAGGCAGGTTTCGGGACCCTGCTCTGCCTCACAGAAACCTGCTCGCTCCCCTCTGTCCGATGGCTCCGGGCATCTAGGTCCAGCCTGACCTTGGTCCTGAAGCTCAGGGGCATGGCAGGCGCCTCCCCGGAGCCTCCCTCCCTGCCCAGGATGCCTGCAGACCAGCGGGACTCCTGGGTCCTTGAAAACGCCAGGCCCGCGACCGCACTGAGCTGCACTGCCCTGGACCCGGGCTCCTGAGAAGACAGGCCCTGGGCCAGGCGTGTTCTCAGCCCCGACACAGGTAAGGGCCCTGAGGCTGCGAGTGTCACCCAGCTCAGAGCCAGTGGCAGTTCTGGCCACACACACCCCTCCCAAGCCCGGACAGCACCCCAGGGACACAAGAGAAAGAGCGGCCCAACCACTCAGAGCAAGCTTAGGCCAGACTGCTCCCCCCCCCCC